GTGAGGCGCAGGCACTGAGAACCTGGCGCGAGACCCGCTCTTGGAAGTCATGTCGCTCACAGAAGCCCAGGCGCCCGCGGTTTGCAGAAAGAGCTTCATAGTCTAAAGAGACCCCAGCTTCAGACCCGAGAATCCCCAAAAGGTCCCAGAGTGCTTCCCTGTGGTGTCGAGGCCGGTGCCGCCCGGGAAAGGCGGGCCTCTTCCACCCCCTGGTGGCCACCCGGGGAAGGAGGTGAGCGCCTGGCCCAGCAGGTCTGCACAGGTTCCGGGTCTGACTTGCTCTCTAGGGTAAAGCTGTGTCTGTCCCACTCTCCAGGATGGGCTGGGAGAGCGACCAGGGGTTCTGGGGGCCTGCAGCTTGGTGGGGTCCCCTGGTACACTGGGGGCGTCCCTGCTTGCCTGGGGTTCTGATGGGAAATTGGCGTGACTCTGCCGGGCCCCTGAGACCCCTCTGGGTCTCTGCCCACGAGACCCTGACCTCCTGGCCTGAATGTCCTTCCCACATTAAGGCTAAGGGTCCCCCATTGGTCAGCCCCCCCACCATGGGTCCATTGTCCTCTTCCTTCAACTCTGGTCTCCAGTCCAGACCCATCAGCAGGACGGGGAGGCCTCCTCCAGGCAGGGGAGAAACCACTCTCATCTACCCTTGAAAGAGCTAAAGACGGAAGGTTCTGGACTTGGAAGGTTAAAAAAGGCCAAAGGACTCTTTCCTTTCCCAGGATGCCTCCATCCGGGCCCTTCTCTTCCTGCAAACCCTGCTGTGAGTTAGACCCTGGCTGCTTCCCTGGGGTGCTCAGCCTCCTCCCTCCCCCAGAGGGCTAGGAAGCTGGCCCCTCACCTGGGCACAGGGGCCGTGTTTCCCGGCCTCCCTGTGGCTGCGTGTGGCCCTGTCACCCACGGGAGTGTGGATGGCGCAGCCTCCTGCCCTGCCTGCTCCTCCCTGGCCACCAGAGCCTGAGCACTCCGCCCATCAGGGGCACCTGCAGGGCCACCTGAGCCACAAGTAGCCTTGAGGTGCTGAGGCCCGTCAGTGCTGCTGTGAGCTGCCCGCTCACTCATCGTGTGACTGCAGAACTGGAAAGCACCGCTCCCTGTCCACTGCCCCTCCTTCCGGGGTGGAATTGGCTAGCACGGGCTCCGGGCGGCAGCTGCCGTGTGGCTCCCCTGGGCCTCTGCCTGTCCAGTGGCAGAGCACTCCACCCGCCTGTGCCAGGCCCTGGGTTTGGATCCCAGCCTCTGCACCCCGCAAGGGCTCCCCCAGCTCTGAGCTCACCTGCCCTCTCCCAGCCAGCTCTGTGCACCTCCCCCTCTACCTGGAATCTGCTGCTGTCCCTATTCCGTCTTTAGTGTGCCCCTCAAGTGACACTTCTTCAAGGGCCCTCGACCAGCCCGGCAGAGTCCAATCCCCCCACTGTAAAACGTCCCTCGGTAGCGATTCCTGTGGCAGTGATTTCATTGCAAGTGGCGGAACTACTTGGTGTCTCCTCGTCTGATCAGCCCCCCTCACTCCCACCCCAGGGCCTTTGCCCTGGCTCTGCCCTCTGCTGGCAGGACCTCCCCCCCATGTTAGTGAGCTGGCCTGTGTCACACCTGTCCTCCAGGGTCAGGTGAGGACTCGATGACAGCTCCGTTTAAACCACGCCCTCCCTTTCCCAGCCCCCTGCACCCTGATTCCTTTCTGTGGTGAGTTATCTTTTTTAAAAAGTTTTTAATTGATAAACAAGTCGCCACTTCATTATTGTGACACATCGTGACATTTGGATATGCGTCCACACTACGGAGTCGCTGGAGCAACATGTATCACCAAACTTGGTTTTGTTCCTATTTGTGATGAGAACACTTAATTCCAGTCAGTGGTTTCCAGGTGCACAGCACGTTGTCCCCACTGTCACCAGGCCCTACAGCAGCTGTCCTCACCTCAGTCCTCCTGTCACCAAAATTCTGTGTCCTGGAGGGACTCGCTCACTTCGGGGACAGTATTTATTTTATCTCCTTTAACTTGTGTCTTCACCTCTGAATGTCCCCCACAGGACAGGACTTCTTGTCCCCCCCCCTTCCTGCTGAGTCAGCCCCGGTGCCTAGAACAGGGCCTGGCACAGCCGTGGGCACGGACGGGTTGAGTGAATGCGGTGCCAGTCCCGGCCGCCGTGTGCGTGCAGTGCAGCGGGCACTGTCCGGGGACCACGGTATTTATTGACCATATTTATTTACGGGATATCCGTGAAAACCGGAAAATGTGTGGATTCATTTTAAAATCAGAAGAACAGGGAAAAAAAAATCCACGTGCCCTCCCAGGCCGGGAAGGTGTCCTGGGA